CGGAAAGTGGTGTTCGACAGGGTTGCCCTCTCTATCCATTTCTATTTAACTTTGTTATAGATCTGATTATGGAAACAGCCCTATCCTCGTACGAGGAAAGTGGCATAGTTTTACTTCCAGGTGGCAGGCTGTTTGATCTGGAGTACGCAGACGACATTGNCATCACTAATCCCAATTGATTTATTAATCACAGATCTCATTGATAGTCACATCAACTCTTGTTTTAAACTTGCTCACAAGATTCTAAACGACCCTCTTCATCCACTACACCCTGATCTATCGTCTTGTCGTTCCCATCCGTCCACACGCTCCTCATTTCGACAGCTACCCTCTCGCATTAACATTTATAAAAATTCCCCTGTACCCTACCTGGCCCGACTACTCACCAAAAAGGAACAGGTCTCAAATGAACTACGTCAAATGCTTTGTACATGATACGTATATCACTGACGTTGTTTACCTTTTGTTTTGATTATTTTTATTTCATTCTGCGCGACGAACAATGTACATTTTTAGCTGAAATGTAAGCATATATGCTTGCAAAAGTTACAAATATAATACAATACATCCGTTTGAAAGTGCTATCTACCACAAACTACTTAACACAAAGTTTTGTCTTCTCTTACATCATTCTCCACTGATTTACGCATCACCTTCTATCTCTTTCGGTATTCTCATCAAGGACTTCTCACTCCTATGTAAATTAATCAGACACATAAGCTGACACAGTGGCACATCTCACCAACTTACACTGCAGTTTTTAATTTCATAGTACTTTACTGCTTGTCAGAAACTTTCTACTGGTAAACTATCAAACCTATCTCACCCTTTTTAAGCACATCTTAGCAAAATTATCTCTATGTTTATCACTCGTTTCAAGCATAAGTACATAATAACACGCACTGAAGCATACGTGTCTTGTGAGGTTTCTTGAAGTCCATCTCACTATAGAACGCCTTAAACTCAAACTGCTGAATTTGCTCGATCGATATTGTGTGCGGTGTTCCCCCATGCTTCTTGTCTCTGAGTTCCCATTTCTACCACAGAAGAGTGATTGTGCATTAGTTGAATATTTGTCCCGTGGAGCGAATTAAAGCGGCTTTTGACTTGACTTTGTTCATGCTGACGGTCACGTGGAGTACTTGAGATAAGCAAGGATTCATTATGTTATCTAACTTAGAGATAAACACTAGATGGTGACATGATCGAAGTTCCGACGACGATTTCACCCTGTATGATAAAAGTACTATCGAGGATAAGGCCAAAAGCGACATGCTAC